TTTGCGCCCCGATGTGAGCTGTTATATCTTTTATTTATGATTATTTATTCTTCAGAAGAATAAATAAAGACATTAATAAATAAATCTGTAAAATTTAAAAATTAAATTTAAATTTAATTTAAACTTTGGATGGGTTTAAAGTGTACGTCATCCTCCTGCGCCTGCGCACATGCCCACAAGTGACGCCGCCGCCGTCCCTTCCAGAAAGCTCGTGGTGAAGATGGCGGCGCAAAGCTCGACTCCGAGTGATCTGTACAAGTGCGTGTACTCGTTCCTGCTGGACAACAAGTTCACCAAGGCGGCGCAGCAGTTCGTCAAACAAACCAAAGTGGTAAGCTCGCTCTCCTCGCGGGACTGACAGCCGGCTGAACGTGCCAGGACAAGACCGCACGAGGGGGTTTAGGCTGTACTGTTAGCACGTGTGAAGTTAGGGGGGTCTCAAGCACATTTTGTTCTTCAGCTGCTGCAGCTCGTTATCATCTACCGGATGCGTTTATTGTGAGCCGTGCGGTGTTCTGCACTGTAGGGAATTGTGATTGATGCTTAAATGGAACTACAGACTTAAAATCTGCTCGAAGTGATTTGTCTGAAGTCTGTGCTTCATGTGTGTCTCTACAGAATCCACAAGATCAAAATGAAGAAAGCCTCGTCGACATCTTCAACTTCTGGGTGAAGTGAGTTGCTTCTGTTCTTTTTTTCGTTCTTTCAGTGCTGGAGCTTTGTGAGTTTCTACTATTATCAATAAACTTTGAAGAAAATGTCCCTCGCCAGCTCCCCCACCACCACCACCACCTCTATTAAATGATGTAACTGCAGGGTTAACACTGTTCGGCAGCCTGTACCTGAAAACAAAGGCACTGTATTCCTTACAGCAGACCGGTGCTTGAACTGGTGACATTATCAGGTACACTTACTTGATCCACAAACTCTAGATCGTGTGATAAACTGTGGCCCTTTCAGGTTTACATTCCTCCCTATTTATTCAGAAAATATCTCCATATGCAGTTTATTAAGTACTTCAATAGCTAATATAACATCTGGCTCATGGACAACAGTTTAGAAACGAGCCATTTGGATAACACTGACATAGTGATGCCAATCAATGTGAATGCTCTCCCAGTATCTCAGGGCTTGTCTGTAGTTGACATCAACACGCTTCTGTTCACTTTAAGGAAGCAGTTTATTTTACAAATAACGGGTAAATTCTATTTTCTGGAGGATTTTCCTTTTTAATATCACTGTGGTTCTTCCTAGGTCTCCTGAAGCTAAGAAACGAAAAGCGCCCGCTAACAAGGCCGACGCTACGAACGGTCCATCCGCCAAGAAAGCGAAACCCAGTGCAGAGAGCTCCAGCAGCGAAGAGTCGAGCAGCGAGGATGAAGAAGCTGTTGCAAAACCAACCAAAGCAGCCCCTTCAGGTAATATCAATATGTCTGACACAGAGCTGATAGTTACGGCTGATATCTGTCAGTATGTGTTACTCTTAAATCTTCTAAGCAATATCAGATTACATTTCTCTTTAATGTCTTTTTTTTTAAGCTGCCAAGGTTGTGCCCGCTAAAGCAGCAGCTACTAAAGCAGCATCCAGCAGTAGTGAAGACTCCAGTGACTCTGAGGAGGAGATGGCTCCTGCAAAGGCTCCTGCAAAGGCTCCTGCAAAGGTAGGAGAAAATATCCAAATTAAAGATTCATCCCAGATCTATTCATTTGTGCACGGCTGTGTTGGTTATGTTTATTAACATTAAGTCTGTGCATGTAGGCTCCCGTGAAGGCGGCGGCTGCTGCTCCCGCTGCGAGGAAGAAGGACAGCAGCTCTAGCAGTGAAGAATCTGACACTGAGGATGAACAGCCCGCCAAAGCCCCTGCACCGAGTGAGTTTACAGCCAGAAGTCATTAATACTGCGTAATGCACCTGTCTTTAATGAATAGAAATGTGTTTATCTTACGTGATTTAACTCTGATTAACAGAACCCAAGGTAGGCGCACCCAGACCAGCTGTTCCCGCCAAAGGTGCTGCTCAGAAAAAGCAGGAGAGCAGCAGTGAAGACAGTTCCTCTGATTCTGAAGATGAAAAACCAGCCAAGGTATGCTAAATAATCTCACCACATCTTCATATTATTAGGTGGTGTTCATATTTTTTCTAGAGGTTAGAATAGGTAATAGCGTTGGCCACTGTCAGCCCAATCAGCCCCAGTAGGGGCAGCTGGGAGATGAGTGGCAAGTCCACTACATTCAAAGAGCTCTCATAGCTTTAATAAAGAGAATAAACTCACCAAATGTCTATGGAAAAGAAAAACACCTTTTTACCTCATTAAACAGAAAAAGACAACTGCACACCTTCTAATTTCAAGTTTCTGAACATCTGTCCCTGAGCGGCTCTCATTCTCTGGAGGCAGACCAGTAAATTAACTAAATAAATTGTCAAAAATTAGCCAGAAAACCACCGATAGCTGATGTATTCGTCCAATCACCTGACCCTAGTAGGTAAATGTAAACCGCAGACTAACTGTGCTTTACATGTCCTGATAGGCTCCAGTCAAGCCCGCTCCAGTAAAGCCTGCCGCCGCCGCCGCCGCCGCTGAATCGAGCAGTGAAGACTCTTCATCTGAAGACGAGGCCCCACCCAGCAAAAAACCCAAAGCAGGTGTGTTATTATAACTTCTTTTATTTTTACCAATGTAAGCTTAATGGTCTCTACACATTGCACACTAACAGCCTAGAAACTAGTCCGGGCGTATTTATTTGTGCGTCCTGTCTAAGAGTTGATCACCTGGTCCTAACTGTTTAAAGTATTGTAGAATTGTACTGAAGCGCTGTATGTCATGATGCTGATCCTTTGTCTTGATAGGCGCATACAGTGCAGTCCCACCACCTGCTTCAGTCCAGAAGGCTCCAGCTGCTCGAGCTGCACCAGCAGCCAGCAAGGCCAAGGAGAGCGACTCCTCAGACAGCAGTGATGACAGCAGTGACGAGGAAGAAGAGAAGAAAGTAGCTGGTAAGAGGTGCCCACTTTTCTCAACTTGAAATGTTGTTTTTTTTTCGGCATGTCTAACAGCATTGTAATCCTCATAGCAAAACCTGCACCAGTAAAGACCACTGCTGCCAAACCCAATGCGCCCAAACCCGTCGCAAAGAAACAGGAGTCCAGCTCTGAGAGCTCAGGTAACAATCACAATCCCAGTCAGCCATTTTCTGCTTGACGTGATCCGATGCCAAATGTGAGACACGTTTTCTTCACCGTGTTTTTTTCAGATTCAAGCTCGGATGAAGAGGAGGCAAAGAAGCCCGCAGCTAAAGTCACCCCAGCTAAAGCAGCCCCAGCCAAACCCGCCCCAGCCAAGGCTGCACCTGCTAAAGAAGACTCCGACTCATCAAGTTCAGAAGATGAAGAGGAGGTGAAGAAACCTGCAGCAAAGGTTACTCCTGCTAAGGCTGCTCCAACTAAAGTCACACCTGCTAAAGAATCTTCCTCAGAGGAGGATTCCAGTTCTGAGGAGGAGGAGACGGCAAAGAAGCCCGCAGTTAAGCCTGCACCTGCCAAGACTACCCCAGCTAAAAAAGACGAGTCCTCCAGCTCAGGTAAGACACAACAGATCATGAACTCAAGCATTTCTGTGAGTGTTACAGTTCTTGTTATACCTTTTTGAATTAGCTTTTTTTTCTGTACCAGTCTGTGGTGAGATCATTACATATTTAGTGAGTTATGACTTAAATATAATTTCTAATCTTATCCCTGCTTGTTACATACTCAGTTGAACTTTTGGTGGTGTTAATATGTATTGCATTATACAGTGGGGTGTTTGTTACTTAGCCTACCCTCATTAATATAAATGCAGTGAACAAAATATTAGAAATATGTCAATATAACAGACAACTGAACACTCATGAAGGTTGGATTTATTGCAGGACTAGGTGTACCTAATATACTGTCAACTGAGTGTACATTTATGTCTATCTGCAATATCTTATCTATATTTCTGTACATCTCAGATTCCGATAGCAGCTCTGAAGATGAGGCTCCGGCAAAACCTGCCGCCAAAACTGCAGCCACACCTAAACCTGCCGCTGCTTCTAAACCTGCCGCTGCTTCTAAACCTGCCGCTGCTTCTAAACCTCCAGCCAAGGCAGCAGAGAGCAGCTCTGAAGACTCCTCCTCCTCTGAGGAGGAAGAACCAGTGAAAGCCAAGCCAGTGACCAAACCAGCTACCCCAGCTTCTAAGCCTGCTACCCCTGTTGTAAAGCCTGCTGCTGCAGCAGAGAGCAGCTCAGACTCTGACTCCTCCTCTGAAGACGAAGAACCAGCTAAGGCTAAATCGGCAGCAGCAAAACCTGCAGCAGCTAAAGCAGCTACCCCAGCCTCAAAGCCTGCTACTCCTGCAGCGAAGCCTGCAGCTGCAGCAGAGAGCAGTTCTGACTCTGACTCCTCTGAGGATGAGGAACCAGCGAAGCCTAAACCTGCCGCAGCTAAACCAGCTACACCAGCCTCAAAGCCTGCTACTCCCGCAGCGAAGCCTGCAGCTGCAGCAGAGAGCAGTTCTGATTCGGACTCCTCTTCTGAGGATGAAGAACCAGCTAAGCCTAAACCTGCCGCAGCTAAAGCAGCTACGCCAGCCTCAAAGCCTGCTACTCCTGCAGCAAAGCCTGCAGCAAAGCCTGCAGCTGCAGCAGAGAGCAGTTCTGACTCTGACTCCTCTGAGGACGAGGAACCAGCTAAGGCTAAACCTGCAGCAGCTAAAGCAGCTACCCCGGCCTCAAAGCCTGCTACTCCTGCA